GGTCGACGGCGAGGTCTTCTCGAGATGCTTGTCGAGGGCATCACTGATCCGCTTCCGACCCACGGCTCCAGTCTCCGCTTTTGGCACGATGAATCCCCGATCCCGATACATTATCTCTTTCCTCAACGAATCTATCTCTGTCTCTTTCAAGAAAGCCCAAGCTCAATCGATTCACCTCGTCATGCAGCTAAACAAATCGAATGAGAACAAAGAAGAAAATCTAAAACCAGATGAATCCTCTTGTTCTCTGGGACGAGGGGAAAAGAGGAAGAAGCGGGAGCGAAAAAGAAAGGCGGCGTGGGGCAGATCGAAAGCGAGGGCAAGAAGAACGTGGAGGGCAAGCAGTCGTAATTAAAAGCAAGTTTGGGGGTCGAGGGATAGGGAAGCGGCGGTCGCATGACCTCGACTGCTCCGTTTTGTCGATGTGCCTTTACAAATATATATAATAAAATATATATTTTTTCTTATGTTCTATAAATTTATATGTAATTATTGGGAGACGAAATATTCTAATAATATAATAATTTATAATTTATATATATAATTAATAACTTTGGCATATGTCCACATGGAAAATGAGATGGGAAATCTACTCTCTCTTTCATCCTTTCAAAATATCTTCATCGTGAATCAACAAAATATCTTTCAAAATATCTTTTAAACTATAAGCTTATTTAAATATCTTTTTTTAGCTAATATGGGAGATTTGGTAAGATGAGATCATATGGGCTCGATAAACTGAGTAAGCAGTTGGGATCTTTCTAACGATAAAATTCCCTCTCAAGGCTAGGTTGTTCAAGTGTTTTTGAGAAATGATTTGTCTTGTGGTTATATGGTTGTGTCTTGACAATAAGGTCACCTCCTAACCATCGATGAACTTGCATGATAGGTCAGCATTAGGGATTACCCGGTGCAACCTCTCTGATGCTTAAGTTAACAAAGGGGATAAGACAGTAGTGTAAACTATGCGACTAGGATAGTGTGTTGAGAGTTGTTATGAAATATAGGGTAGCATCACATGTTCAGCCAAAAGTATAGAAAAGAAAGATCTCATATTTCCACAAAAAAATAGTTTCTTGTCATCATACGAAAATTGATACGCAAAAACTCACAAACAAGGAAAATCATATGTGTTAAAGGATGTGTATTACCTAGGGAGATCTCTCTATCTAATAATCTCTCATTGGCTCTTATTGAATCTCATCCATAGGATCTAATAATTCAGAGGCTTATTGGATATCTAATAAGATAGAGGCTCCAATGGATATCTCATATTCGAACCTCTACTCGTCGCAACACCATCCATATGTGTGTGACCTTCTAGGTCAAATATCGAGCAGGCCGTGAGTTATACTTGTTAAAATTCCTTGTAGCTCAATGAATTATTATATGTATAATAATTCACTTGACTCATCGATTGCGGATGTATTAGTCCACTACACCGTAGTCTCCAGATGATACAGGGGAGTCCAATCCATTGGACGTGTTTGTCCTTAATTATTGTGCATCTATAATCCCTCATCCATATAATATCCCAGTGACCATATTCTGGGCATGATATTGCTAGGCCCATATGATTTCTACTCGAGCCTCTGTTGGGAAATTTGGAGTGACATCACAGCGGAGGAATAGAAAATAAAATCCCATATTTTCATAAAAAAATTAGTCTCTTATCGTCGTGCAAAGATTGGTGTGCGAAAACCTACGAAACCGAAAAACTATGCATACAAGAAGATTATGTTACTTAGGGAGATCATATATCTCTGAATTCCTATAAATTCGTAGGAAAGAATGAATGAGATCAACTATCCTCCTCTCTAACGGTGGTCCATACGACAGGGGTTGTGAAGACGCTCCTCAAATCACTACACAATCCTCCTCGCTATGCGCACTATACAATTAAGAAGGGACAAGCCTTCTTACTGTCCACATGCCCCAAATAGGGGCTACAGGTTGAGAAGGAGAGAGGAGAGGAGAATATAAAGTGGCAACCAAAAAGGCCTAACCTATGACTCTTTGGTTCTCTCCTATTTATAAAGGTTCCCTATCAACTTAACCCTAATGGATCCTGCTCTATTGGGTATTGGATCTCCATCCAACTACTCAAGCCTCTTAGAATAATAGTTCTCTACCCAATAATCTCTTATTGGCGCTTACTGGATCTCCATCTATAGGATCCAATAATTCAGGGGCTTATTGGATATCTAATAAGATAGGAGCTCCAACAGATATCTCATATCTGAATCTCTACTTGTCGCAACACCTACCATATGTGTGTGACCCTCTAGGCCCAATATCGAGCTGGCTGTGAGTCATACCTATCAGAACTCTTTCTGACTTAGTGAATTATTATCTCCATAATAATTCACTCGACTCATCGATTATGGACGTACTAGGCCACTACGTCGTTGTCCCCAGATGAAACAAGAGAATCTAATCCATTGGACCTATCCGTCCTCAGTTACCATATACATATAGTCCTTCGTCTATCTAATACCCTAGAGACCATATACCAAGCATAGTATTATCAGGCCTATATAATTTCTACTCGAGTCTTGCTTTAATTGGATTCTCCCGAAGAACTCTTTCTCTCAATCTAAATGACTATACGTGCAGGCACTACGTTGCCTACGGGCACAGTACCCATAGCGATGCTCGCCTACAGGGGCGACGGCTTAGCACACACCACCCCATTCCCCCCACCCTACGCCACCCCGCCACCGCAACCCCCACCCCACCCCCCCAACACACACACTAGTCGTCGTAGGCCGCAATGCAACAAAGCAGCATGGAAAGGAATTATGTTTTTTTGGGTAAAAGATAATTTTACCCCTTGAAAATTCAAAAATTTTAAGGTTTATCCTTTCTATCCAAATTACTAAAATACCCTTCATAATTAAAAAAAACCCTACATGTCTCGAATTTCAGAAAAAATATTAGTTAATTAAAAGGTTTAGTTAACTATTATTATTTATCTAGTAGTCCTATATAATAATATGTACATGTGATATATGATGTGGACTGATGATCTTGGACCGTGTGAAGTGATGCATGTGTGTGATGTAATCATTATTATTATTATTGAGGCTTGCAAGTCTCTATTTTTTTCTTATTTATTGTCGAGCTTGTGTGCTTGTGATTATATTATAATTATATGAAGAGGCACAATGGGAGCGTGGAGGCTATAACGGAACTCACGATGCTGAGACAAATAATCACGATGCATGGAGATATGTCGAGATGCTGAAAGAACCGATGAGGACGAGATAGACGATCACAGGGCATGGAGATGTGCCGATGCACGTATAGATCATGATATGAGTGATTGGACCCACTAGCTCAAGCTTTATCACATTAGGCTGTGGTCCATGATCATATGGTGTGATTGCACATGTGATATGTGATTAGTTGTACACCTACTAGATATGTATATATATTTATAACTTTTATTCGTAAACATATTGAAAGTAGTAAGCAAGTAAAGAGATTTGTAGTAAGATAAATTACATAAAAGAAAAGGCAAATCAGATTTTTATAGTGGTTCGGTCGTCGTGACCTACATCCACTCCGTTGATTCCTCTTCCGTCGAGGCCACCGACATCCACTATCGATCTTTCTTTAATAGGCGAAGATCAACCTCCTTCTTACACCCCTCTTCTCCTTTTTATAGGTTTAGGAGATAATCTTTACAACCACTCACTCCTCTCCCAAACTATTCTAACACTTAGACTAGAAGAGGAGGATTCTCACAAAAGATTACAATAGTATTTTTCCCTTTTTAAATTATTTATGCTTGTGTCTTAATTAGGGATGAGAGGGGTATTTATAGGCTTTAAGTTGATTCAAACTTGGAGCCTAAAAAAGTCTCATCCCGGGTTTCCCGGGTACGGGCAGTACCACCGCCTATGTCAGTCTGACACTGACACTACACTGGGCGATACCACCGCCTAGCACCCTGCCACTAGGTGGTACCACTGCCCAGATTTCCTGGGGTGATGTTTCCCAAGCGGTGCCACCGCTAGTTAGGCTTTCAGCATCCTAGTTGGGCCTTGAATCTGACTTAAGCCAGCCTAATTTTGGGCCCAATTGGCCCCTAACAGAGTTGATAGGATTATATTCCAAATCACACTCTAATTATGTTCTAACTACGATTCCTAAGACATATTCTAAGTAAAATAAGTTCAATTTCTTCCAGTAAGCTTCTGGCAATCTTCCGGCGAACTTCTGACGATCTCTCGGCAATATTCCAACGGACTCCCATCAAGCTCCTAGACTTTACGATAATCTTCTTGGTAAGTTCCGACGAGCTTCTTTGGCGAGCTCTAGGACTTCTCGGTCAATTTCAACAGAACTTTCGATGAACGTCGGACTTTCGACGAACTCTCGAACTCTTAACGAAATCTCGTTCTCAACTCCGAGACTTTATTTTGCTTTATGCTTTGCTATCATAGTTAATCCTGAACACATAAAACACACTTCGATCTATATAATTATTACTAAGCATGAATGCCTTGCTTCGATCGTAGTCAATGCCTTGCTTTATGTCATTAGTCCATCGACGCTTCATCCGATTCTTCGGCACATCGTTCTCTCTTGCAGCCTATTGCCCAATTGACCAGTTAACCTCCGCAACTCCAATATCTTTGGCGCAATATCTGCTTTTCTTGGCTCGAAGCCTGAATCCATGGCTCGAAGCATTCTGTCGATACGTCAACCGATCCTCCGGCTCGACGTCTAATCTTCTGACATGTTTTCCTCCGGTCCAAAATGATTCTTCCTACTTTAATTATCTTATCCTGATCAAAGCATAATGCATCACTCAAAACGTAAATCAAATCATAAACACTTATCAATTGGTTTCATCATCAAAATACGAGATTCAACAGTGATGTACCTTGATAATTTAAAATTATGCATGAAATTCTCATGATTTTTTAAATTCAAAGTTTCT